TTGGCCCAGGTGGAAGTTGATGAAGAGGAAATATGAAAATGCCTGGCAAGATCATGATGGTTCTTTTATTTTTTATTTATTTTTTACAATTTATTTGCTCACAATTTTTTTGAGTTTATTTTTGAAAGAAAGCACACATGTGCATGCTCTCACATAAGCAAGCAGTGGGAAGAGGAACAGAGAAAGAGAGAATCCCAAACAGGGCTTCGGGCTTTCAGAACAGAGCCTGATGGGGGCCTTGAATTCACGAGCCATGAGATCATGACCTGAGCTGAAATAAAAGTCAGGAACCTAACCGACTAAATTACTAGGTGCCCCATAATGTTTCTTTTAGAGTCTACCTAAATGAATAAAATTATCAGTATGGCTATTACCTAAGAAAAATGTACTTAGCAGCAAAGTATTGAAAATGGAATTACTGGAAGGATGATAAAGGGAAATAAACCTAAAATCATTTCTCTTTATCATCAGTACTATCAAATTCTAAAAGCAAAACCAAAACACACACCCACCCACACGCACACACACACACACACACACAAACACCACTACCACCACCATAAAGTGAGTCTCAATGTAGCTACTAATGTCTGCCTTGACCAGTTTTCACAGTTGCCTCATAAGAAAAATGGCAACTGGGCTACTTTAACCCTAAAAAGTATGAATTATCAGCTTCCAGACAGCCCCCTTAGCCATCACCCCCTCTTCCTCTCCTCTTCCTTTTCTCTCCTCTTTCCCTTAAGTCAGGTTAGGGACTATCCAAAACATGTTTTGTGTCACTGACCATCTATACATTCAAGAGATCTAATGGCATGGTTGTTAGAAAATTTCAGAGCAGCAGAAAAAAGTATTTCTAGAGAAGGGAGCACTTCCATATCCATAATACCCCTAAAATTATACATTGTATGAAAATTATACATTGTATGTATACATCTACTCCAACTGCCCACAGGACCAGCCTCAGCAGCATATACTCACTTTCTAGGTTTAAGTAGAATTTTCTAAATTTTTCAATGGAATATAGAGTGAGTCAGTACAGGAGAATTTTAATTAGATACAACAAAATGATGTGATCTTCACAGTTTTTGCTAGCTTTATTAAGATGGTCCCTGTAACTGAGGTGAGGATTTTAACTGACTATAAGATAGTGTATATTCACTACAGAGATTCAGAAAGAGCAATTCAGTTCATTTTCAGGTACATTTTAGAGCTAAAAAAATGCTAATGGTATCTTTGTTAGAAGTATTTTATTTAATGGGATAAAAAAGCAAAATTTGGGACTATGTCATGGTGTTGGTACATTTCATTAATAAGTTTTTTCAAATCTCAGCTGTGATTTGGGCTACTTTTGAGGATGTGGCAACATTGTACAAGGGAAATATTTTATCCCAAAAGGAAAAAAATCAAATCATAGTTTAAAAAACTCATTACCAATAATTAATAATGAACTCTAGCTAAACAATAACAGGTGTTCTACTAATCCCAAACAGAAACAGATGGAAGCACAAATGTTTTATAAATACTGGATACATGCAGAGCAATAAGCTTGGCAGGAATTGTTTTACTCTCTAATTGTCAGTCAGAATAGAAGTCTTATCACTTGCATTTCCTCTAAATTAATATGCTCAGATTAAATCTTGTTTCTCATTCCTCAATTTTCAAAATGCAGACCATATTTAGTGCTTTCCCACTTCATCATATGTTGTTATCTCACCAACAAAGAAAATATCATAAATTTTCCTTCTGGACATTTATGAACTTTTACATGACTTGTTACATGAAACAACAAGCATACCATACATGTTTCCCTTCTCCAGCTTCCTTTTCCACCCCATGAAATGCTGAAAAACACTATTTCTCCAGAAATATTGATCTACATATTCTTTAACTTCTTATACATTATAGCAATGAATATTCAAAATCATGAATGTAAGTAGATGAAATAAATCAGGAAAGGTAATAAATGCTATTAAAGAATCTAATCCTGGGCTTCTGGGTTGAATGTCTGACTCTTGATCTCTGCTCAGGTATGATATTGCAGTTTGTAAGTTTGAGCCCTGCATTGGGCTCTGTACTGACAGCATGGAGCCTGCTTAGGATTCTCTCTCCTTCTCTCTGCCCCTTTCTCTTTCTCTCTCTTTCTCAAAATAAATAAATAAACTTTAATAAAATTCTAATCCTATAGCACTTGGAAATTATTTACATGAGTTAGGATATTTTACAGTGCTAGAGATCCGAACTCATGGCTATTTAAAAAATGTTCACATATGACTTTAAAAGACATCTCCCTGTATGGTTAATAGTGGGATTCTCCTTAACTCATGTAGACATGGTTTCACTGTTCCTTCTGATCTTTGATCTGTTATTCAATTTTTGAAAAGATATGATCAGCTTTGTGACTGTTAAACACTTAGCATCCCTCATTGACTTTGACAGCATATGGTTCTCTCTGTCCTGTGATTTTCTTAGAAATTGTATTTTATGATCAATTAGTAGCTCTATGAATAACTTGGATGACACAAATAATAGAATTTGAAGACTCATGCTCATTAGAAATATTGATTCATGTTGCATGTAAGTAAACAGTTGCTCTTTTTAAAGTAAAATATGTGTAGAATTTAACTCTCTTAAACCATCACAGCTAAATAAAATAAGCAACAAATCTGTTACCTAAAATTGACTTAATTGTGTGTATAGACTGAGCGTTGTTAATGTTAAGTTTCTTTCAGACAGCCTGTACTAAATGGAATGATTTAAGGAATAAAGTTATAACAGTATTTTGTGCATCTCCTTAGATGCTTTGTCAACAAATTTTCAAGGCTTTTAAAAAAATTTTTTTAGAGATTATTTATATTTGAGAGAGAGAGATACAGAGTATGGGCAGGGAAGGGTAGAGAGAAGGAAAGACACAGAATTTGAAACAGGTTCCAGGTCCTGAGCTGTCAGCACAGACATGCGGCTTTCGAACTCACAGCTTGTAAGATCATGACCTGAGCTGAAGTCCACTGAGCCACCCAGGTGCCTCTAATTTTTCAAGGTTTTACTGTGACACCAATTTTATTTTATTTTATTTTGACTTTTATTTTTTATTTATTGCTTTTTTAATTATAACTTATTGTCAAGTTGGCTAGCATACAGTATATACACGTGCTCTTGGTTTTGGGGTAGATTCCTGTGATTCATCACTTACATACAACACCCAGTGCTCAACCCAACAAGTGCACTCCTCAGTGCCCATCACCCATTTTCCTCTCTCCCCCCATGCCCCCAATCAACCCTCAGTCTGTTCTTTGTATTTAAGAGTCTTTTATGGTTTGCCTCCCTCCCTCTCTGTTTGAAATGATTTTTTTCCCTTTCCCTTCCCCCATTGTCTTCTATTAAGTTTCTCAAGTTCCACATATGAATGAAAACATATGATATCTGTCTTTCTCTGACTGACTTATTTCACTTAGCATAATGCCTTCCAGTTCCATCCACGTTGCTGCAAATGGCAGGATTTCATTCTTTCTCATTGTCAAGTAGTAGTCCATTGTATATATAAACCACATCTTCTTGATCCATTCATTCATCAGTTGATGGACATTTAGGTTCTTTCCATAATTTGGCTATTGTTGAAAGTAGTACTATAAACACTGGGGTACATGTGACCCAAGAATCATCACTCTTGTATCCTTTGGATAAATTTCTAGTAGTTCTATTGCTGACTGTGACCACAATTTTAAATGTAAAGATACTGAAGATCAAGCGGATTTTAATGATTTACTCAAGGTCCAAGGCTAGAAAAGGATGGGGCAAGAATCACTTCTATATTTATGACCTAAGCCCTCTTTTTCTACTATAATAAATTACTTTCCTGATGTTTCCATCTAAGTTTACTATGATATTATACACATATGTTAATATTAATCATTTTTACCAAGTAAGTGAATCATCATCCAAGTGAATCGTCATATTTTCAGTGTTTTCCCCCTCGTTTCATTTTCTAACTCAGTAAGAAAGTAAACAAAGAGAAAGAAGATTAAAAAAATGAAGAAGAGTAGGAGGAGGAAATTAACTTGAATAAGTTATTAGAATTAACGAAATTTTGCTGAAACTCAAAATTCTCATGATCTTCTAATTTTCTAGGACCTAGACGTATTAATATTTGTTTAAAATATGATATGTCCACTTGCCAAAATACACATGAAGGTAATTATACATTTTAGAGAAATTTCCATAAAAATAGTTTAGAACAAAATTATAGTTTGCTTTAAACAATCAGTTCCAATTATCTTAATGTAAATTAGTTCTTTCCTTAACAAGACTATATTCCTAGAATTGTTTTCCCAAACATAACATAGTACTATCAGTCTTAAATCTGCAAAAAGCTTAGAACAACCAATCAAGTTATTCATTCTTAATTAAGATATTAGTAAAGAATCACTTGTTACACTCTGGACAACAATTAATGTTAGGAGATGTGATAGATAATTTCCTTTCAATAAAAATACTTTTCATTGTATTGACTAATAACTCCAAGGTTGACTAGCTTCATCAATAGTAGTTCTCTGGAGTATCTAACCCTTTCACAAGTGAGAAAATAAAAATTTGAAGTAAATTAAACATTTGAATTGTGACAGATTTAATAAAATTTTTTTCAGTATTAAAAAAGGATACTTTTATTGCCATAGGTCTTATAAGTTTACCAGAAATAAAATAAGATGTTTCACCTCTTCACTCCAAGATATTATTAAAGATATTAGCACTTTTTGTATATAAAGATATTAGCATTTTTTAAGCTTTCACCTGACTTCATTTGCAATAGGCCATGCAGTAATAGAAAGTAAAATTAAAGGCCCTAATGCCAGTTATTACTTCTACTTTTCACTGGTTTTATACTAAATCTACACATGCATTATGTAATTTTTAAAAATGAAAATGCAGTTTAGTACATAAAAAAGCCAACAATCTTAGAAACAAAGACTATTAAAACAGACAAGTACAAAAATTGTTTGGAATACCTGGTTTTAAATCCCCATGGACAAACATGTCAATCATATATCGACAGAATGCATACTGATCTGACAGAGTAGAAAGAAAAAGAGCAATGAAAGAATGTCATCAACACCTTTCTTCTTTCTAGGAAGAAATGGTTTAACAAAACAAACCAAATAGCACAATTCTATTTTAGTTACTACAATATCTTCTGTGAAGGAATAATTTGCACTCATATGAATACACAGGGAGAAATGGCATAATAAATATAAGGTTCCATTTATTCCAAACAAAAAGAATAGCTTTAAAAAAATTGAAACAGAATAGGTGGGTAATATCATATAGTGCCTTTTTTTAATCAAAACATTTTTTATCAAATTCATTACAAAAGTCATCATATTAAAGCAGTTTTTCTCATTATTCATATATACACTTCCATTAATGAAACAGAAGTTTTAGAAGAGGAAATTATTACCAACTTGGAACATTTTACCAATTATTCATTCTCAGCCCTTCTGCTAATTGTCTAAATGGAGCTGTAGAATATTATCTCAAAATGGCAAGCTGGAAGGCTAACTCCTTTATAATGTGTTAGGGGTTCTGCATGGAAACGCTCCTCAATTATAAGAGTATGTGCAAAGAACAGACTTCCAACAGTAAATGATATCATTGCTCAGCTAATTAATTGAATAATCATCATTGAAGGTATCTTATGATCCTGACTAGTCTATAGTCTATAGAAAAAGTTCAGAAAAAAAAAAGAATTTGAGCATTTGGGGCAAACTTGATCAAAAATGATCTCAGAGATTTTTTTTTCTTTTCCCTCTAAATTAAAGACATTGCAATGAACTTTAAATTCCCACATAACATTAGATTCTGCTGAGGTCATTCCAATCCAAATTTTAGTTGATGAATTCCAGAAGTTTTACCATATCTTCTTTAAAGCTTGCATATTATGAAATTAACCTTGTTCAAGATGATTTACTTACATTTTAATGTTTCTAAATAGGCATTTTATTAATCTAACAAATCCAAAGGCAGCTTAAGGACCAAGAGAGTTTATTCAGTTTACATAACATGGCACACCCTTAAGTGCTTGAAATTATGTGTATTAAACATGTGAAATAATAAAACTTGTTACTTTATAATAAATACACATACAATGATTTTTGTGAATCTTATTCCTTTTAAAGTATGAACAGTATTTTTAGAGTAATCCATTTTATTTTGAAATTCTGCCAGGTCTTTAAAGAAATAAATGTAGTTATTACATTAAATATAAAATATAATCCTTTTCATTAGTACCTAAATACAAGTAAATCAAAACTCATAAAGTTTCAAAAATTTGCCTGTATATTGACTCTTGAATTACAGCACCTTTTGCCATAGATGAGGTAGATGTTGGAGGGAGACTAGTTCCCAGGTCAAGTTCAGGAAATTATTTCTTCCTGGATAGACTAGCAGGAACATCCAGGGTTTCTAATACCAGGACATGGGAACCTATATCCTTATGGTACAGGAGATAATTAAGATTAATGTAGAAAGTATTTTCTTTTTTCTGGACGTAACTTATTTCCTAAGCAAAATTCTAGAATGGGCAATTTGGCTGTCAGATATAGCAATGAAAAAGTACATTTCCCTTAAATGGCAAATTTGAGGTTGGGCATGGGTGGACTTCCTGTATTTTCAAGCTTTCCCTTTTGTTTCAGTACCTTAAGTGACTATATTCTTTTTGAATTTGTCCTTCCTATAATTCAGAAGTTGTTCTCAAAGGGCAATTTAAATATCAAAAAGATGGGGAATGTGTTACAATTCCATGGGGCTAAACCCTAAAAACTCATTTTTAACAAACTCCTCAAAAGATCTAATTATACCATCTTCCAGAATCACTGATACAGAATCTCTCCATTTTTCTTTTCATTTACAATGATTCCTACTGGCACTATAGCCTTCAGCAACAGCGACAGAAAAGATATGCATGTGAAAAGTTTAGAATGCAGGGACTATTTAAAATTTGAAGGGCTTGGACAATTGTGGGAGCCTGACAGTGACCACAAGAAAGCCTGGTTAGGGACGCAGGGATGTGCCTGCACACGGGGCTCCCTGCCTGGGCAAGGCATGCCTGCAAACAGGATGCCCTGCCAGGAGGCCTGCACACAATATCCAAGTTTCATGGTCCGCTTGCAAACGAGGGAACATGCCCTCCTTAGAAATAAGGAGAAGGCTGGAATTGTGAGCAGGCCTCTTAGTAAACATGTTGTGGTCACTTCCTCCCTTTACTCCCCCTTGTCCTTGGAATGTGTTTGGCTACTTGCCCTTGTTTTGTGAAAGAAGGTATTTTGTAAATTTAAGTTTGCATCCAGTTACCGGGGTATAAAATAAACCGCAAGAGGGGCTTGCGTAGAATTGTTCCTCCGGCCGGAGTTGTGCCTGTGTCTGTCTTTTGTGTGTGTCTTGTCCTTTGTGTCACTTCGTCCGCAACAGACAATCACCCAAAAAGAAATAATACTCTCTGCCCCAAGCTGTGATGGCATATTTATACATGTAGCATGTGGAATAGTTTATTGAGTTAACTAAAATCTTCATGCTTCAGAGTTTTTTTGTTTTAACTGAATGCTGACACTGTCATGAAACGATTTAGCCTCTATGTTAAATTATTACCAAAGTAAAATGCTTACATATATTATACCTATATTTTCTTGCTCCAAAAGCCTTTCATTTAATTAATGCACCAGTAATCCTAGGTGTTTCCAATTTGAGAAGGAAAGTCCTTTATTAATTCAAAACATCTATTTTTTTAATCTAGAAAATTGTTTGAGTAACAACACTTAAGAGGTTTCTGTTTTACTTGAGTGATGTTGTGATGTTGCATTCTAATGGCATCAGTAGGAAGAGGGTATTTTTACAATATGTTAAATCAAGAATTTTCAAATAGTTTAAATTATGATGCCCATTTCTGTCTGTCCTGAGTGTTGACCTTAACAATGTGCCAGAATTCCAGGCAAGTATATGTTGGGCAGTCCACAGCCTGTCTGTTTTACCTGTCTAAGGAGGAGGCAAAACCAAGTCTTCCTAATTTTGAAGGTTCATTTTATAGAAATCCTTCTCTAAATGCAACTCAAATGTTAGAATAGGAAAATTTTCCTAAAGAAAATATTGACAGTTCTATCATTATAACTTTCATAGTTTTGTGATAATAATTCATACAATTTTATTTGTGGTCACCATTTCTTACTATTTTTTTCTCTCAAATGAACACCTTCTTGGAATCACATGTGCTGACCATTTCTCCCCTCCTCAAAAAACAGTGATGGATGTCACTCAGCTGCTGCCTTGTCATGTTCCCCATGAAGAGGCAGTGGAGAGGTAATTTATTCTTGATGCAGAATGTCAACAGAAAAGAAATTTTTAAAAACTCTTTTATGAGCAAGGGGTATGTGTGGTCCGGTGCTCTATGGTAGATTCACATTAGTTATACTATCTCTGCTTGCCACAAATATTTAGATGGTTGTTAAAAAGAAGATGAAGAAGAAGGAGGTGGATGAAAAGGAGAATGAAAAGGAAAAAATGAGCATAGCAGTAGGGAGGTTTGAATTTTTTTCCCTCTCCACTCTTCTGTCCCAGACCGTCAGAAAAGCAAAGCCTGATCATGCTCATCCTTCTTACTGTCTTTAAACAGATTAAGTTTGGTCCATAGAAACTAGATTATGTGGTACATAAAGGTGTGTGTATGTATGGTAGGTTGGTACATAACTATCCATCTTATTTCCAGTGCTGTAAGTGGAAATATATCATATTAAATGTAACTGAATATGAACATATTTGCATGTTTACTATATAATTTAAAAATTGCCAATAAGTGTGTCTGTTTCATATATAAATCTGTTTCCAGTGAAAGACATTTATTTACAAGAAAAAAACTATTTAGAAATTTGTTTGAGAAGAACTCAAATTCATTAAGACTAACTTATGCTAAGCAAATAATCCCTTCCCCACAGGAGAACTTACTCAACTATTTACTAAATCATCAATAAAAGAGTCTCAAAATCAAAGCCACCTCACAAATAGATTATTTTAAAAACACTTTATCTTTGTTCATTCTATTTAGTTGAAACCATAATGTGATAAGGTTTTTTATGAATAAATGTTCTTAAATCTTTGTTAAATCTAAAAAACATAACATATTTATGTGTCTGACCAGCTATTAGAAGTAAAGTTATGATTATTTACCTAATGATACAATTATTTAATTGATGGTAGCTATATTAATGGGGAGCCTTGCTTTAACAAATGCAGTTACTTAGCCGATAAAATCACATTTGTGCTTTTGTTTCTGATTCTAAGTGGTATTTGAATGTTCTTTTAATAGATAAATAGCTCTTTATGTGAAAATGAAAACAGTAGATTGAAAATAAAAATGGTATTGGAATATTATCCTTAATAATTCTGATTACTGATAAGAATAAAATACAATATATGTGATCTTGAAAATAAACATCATTTTAAAATGTTCTAGTGATGTGTCTTCATCAATAAAATATGCTGCCCCCCAAAAAATACAAGGATACTAAAAATGGACATCAAAAAGTTTATTCATGTTCCTAGTTGTTAGATAAATATTTTGATACTCCCATTTATAACTGGCATGAATTTTTACATATTGTGTTTATGGACAAAAAATAAAAATATAGTTGGCATGTTTCAGCTGATGTCATGAGATTATTTTTGTTTTGAAAGGGCAATCTAAAATGCAAAGTATTTTAGGACCTTGATGATCACTTTAAATAGATAGATCAGTGAGTCAGAAGATTAATTTTCTTATTTTCTATCACAGTAAAATGTTGCATTCAAAATGTTTTCTCTTGGGGAGCCTGGGTGGCTCAGTTGATTAAGCTTCCAACTTCGGCTCAGGTCATGATCTCACAGTTCGTGGGTTCGAGCCTTGTGTAGGGCTCTGTGCTGACAGCTAGCTCAGTGCGTAGAGCCTGTTTCAGATTCTGTATCTCCCTCTCTCTCTCTGACCCTTCCCTGCTCACGCTGTCTCTCTCTCTCTCTCTCAGAAATAAATAAAATATTTTCAAAAATGTTTTCTCTTTACTTGCTATATTTTTTATCTACCCAAATATTTCAGTAATAACAGAAAGTTTTAAGAGAGGTGATAACCAATATTTTTAATTTTTTCAAGACAATATAATCATTTTTAAAATTGAAGAAAGTTCTTAGGGAGCCAAAGTGTTAATTCCACTCTTCTTTTTTAGTGATCCACAAAATTTTAAATTTAGGTAATTTTCATTTATTTCAAAATTTGTGGATCACACAAAAAAAGACAGAAGAATTTTTTCTTCTTTTCTTTATAAAATGTATTTTCAAAAACTATATATCGCTCGTCAAATAAATAAAAATTTATATTACTTGTGAATTCAAGGGAAAATAGGATTCAAAGACAAAATACAAGAGCAGATTACAAAGTCTCACTTATTTGTGGAACCAAAAAAATATAGATTGCAAATTTCATCTTATGTTTTACGATGGTGAAAAACTATTTTCAGTTTTATTGTCCAAATAGCTTACTCAGTAATAAAGTTTTCAAAATTTTTAATGAAAATCTCACAGAAATCCTTCCTTAATTTTAGTTCTGAAATATGATTATACAAAACTACCAGGGTAAAGGAAAGTATTAGTTTGCAACACCCCTAAAAACATTTATCGGAATAGTCTTTACTGAGTAATCCCACATTCTCTATGGGCAGTGTTAGGACTGTATAGCAGCATAGCACCAGGAATGGACTCAGGAAGAAGAGACTCAACAAGCGGCAGAGACATGGGACAAGCCCTCAGTTGCCCTCTTAAAACTCCACCCTTTTATTCTCATACTTTTATTCTCACCTTTCCACAAAAATTTTCAGTCTTATATTCCACTTCCATTTAAATGCTCTATTTCCGTGAAGTAGGGCTGTAAGTTTGACATCACTCTTGCTGAAGAGCAGCATGGTGTCAGATACAGAGATTTCTAGAGTCATAAATTTAGTCAGTGGAAGCTAGCAAAGGATCTTGAGAGTTCTTTTTCCCATAACGTCCTGTCTATTAAATTAACTGAAATTAATAATTCAATGTATATTTTAAATTGTATGCTCTTGCAGAGGCAGTAGGAATGGTTGGAGAGTTTTTATACTTGTTCTAGAAGATCTGAACATATATTGCTTAAAAAACCTCTAGAAAATTGTCATTTTTCCTGGACTGCTGTTCTCCAAAGAGTAGACCACACAAAATTGTGTTTCCACTTGTTAGAAGAAATCCTATGTCTCAAGAAATTAACATTTATCCTCAACCTTCAAATAACTTCAGATACTAACTCAAATCTTCTTTTACAAATACCTCACACTGCATCTTTAGATATGAAACACATTTTAGTCTTTCTGTAAATACATTTAATTCCCAATTATTGCATCTCCTTTCAGGTAATTTTTACTGATACACATCTGTTTATTTCCATTTGAAGTCTAATCGCAGTCTTTTTGAGTTTTTAATTTCACTGTATCTGCTTCTTGCCCAATATTCCCTTAGAACCTCTGACCACTTCCTCTGAATGTTTACCTTTCTGTTCATGCTTGGACACAGCTGCGGTCTCTTTTCCCTCCTTCTCCTTGGGCTTAGGTGATGGTCTCTGTACTTCTTTGACTTTTGCAGCTGTTTGCTTCACTTTCTCTTGTTTCCCACCTTTCACTTCCTTTTTAATCTTCTCTTCAGTCTTTGTTTTCCTCTCTTCTGTACAGAGTTAAAGATAAATTAGATTATTTTTGTTTGTTTATTAACCAATCATCTTTTATTGATTGGTAAGGACAATTTAGAAAGAGAGAGAAAAGAAAAACAATAGAAAAATAGTATCCCTGGTTTGCTCAGTTGGTTGAACAACCGACTTTGGCTCAGGTCATGATCCTGAGGTTTGTGAGTTCAAGCCCCACATCCGGCTGGCTGTTGTCAGCGAAAAGTCCTTTTCCGCTTCAGATTCTCTGTCCCTCTCTCCTTGTCACTCCCTCGCTTGCGCTCTCTCAAAAATAAATAAAATAAAATGAAACACTTAAAAAAAAGAAAATTGCATTCCTCACATACATACTTGTGACTACTGTCTAACTTTTATATCGTCTATGAAGTGACATGTACTTAAAAAATAAATGTGGCTCACTTGCAAGTTGGGCACGTTCTTAGTTTGTACACGAAAACAGTACCTTTTAGGTAGCCATGAGCTTAGCATATCAACAAGGAAGCATTTGAAATACAGAGGATTTGTACAGAGGGGCATGTTCAGCAAAAGGCAATGTTCACACCAAAGAGCCAAGGATATAATCTTTTTTTTTTTTTTTTACAAGGATTTAATCATTTTGTTCCAGACTGGAAGATCTTAAAAGTCATTCAAGAGGGACGCTTGGATGAATCAGTCAAAGTCCTGACTTCCACTTGGGGTGATGATGTCATGATCTCATGTTTCACGAGTTCCAGCACCACCTTGGGCTCTGCACTGACCGTGTAGAGCTTGTTTGGATTCTCTCTGTCTCTCTGTCTCTTTCTTTCTCCTTCCCTCTCTCTCTCTCTCGTTATTTGTCCCTTCCCCACTTGTGTGCATGCACATGTGTGCTGTCTTTCTCTCCCTATAAACTAAATAAACTTTAAAAAAGCCATTCAAGAAACTGAACATAGTATTTTTTAAAAATAGCTATTAAGACTGTAAATGTGAAATTACTGCACTGATAATGACTAATAGAAATGAAACAATAAAAGCCATTAAAGGATAACTGAGGGATTTTTAGGTTATAATGACTTGATTTTAAAGAAATGGAAAGAGAGCAGATATTGAGATATTAGCTCCTGCTTATCTTAAGTCAGAAATGCTAATTCTAATGACTTTTAAAACCCTCAGCTATATCCTAGTGAACAGAAAGGGCTATAACTTAGAAGCTATTATGTGAATTATAACATATATGCATATATATTCTCCACACACATATACTTAATTTGATATTCTATGTATTTGGGGGGAAGAACTGGGAATGTGAACTGATCAGTTTGTGAATCTTTCAATTATTTTACACAAGGCAATAATATAGCACACATTTGTGGGAAATTGTTTATATAGATGCTACATGTTGGACATCATTTATTCTATGGGACCACACATAATCAGTAGACCCCGCAGTAAGACCACTGCAAAGTAGACTCTCTCATGTCATTTGTCAATGTAATGGATAGGCTTACTTGTCACTCATGTTGAAAAATCTGATGAGAAAAATTATAATCAAGTTTCTTGGCTTTAGTACACTAAGCAATAAATTGAGACTAATGCAAGATAGTATTGTGAGGTCCCATAAAGAAGAATAAAAATAATAATGCCCGATGCTTTAAAAACCAAAATCATCTGTGATCCTGCATTTAGTTGAATGAGCCAAACTTGCCAAAGCACTGTTCCTCAGAAACTTTGTAGGAAGATGATTCTACTATGTTAAAAGTACAGGGATATTCCTATGATCAAATACACTTGGAATCACTGAGTTAAACCAGTTTTTTTTTTAAATTTATTCATTTATTTTGAGAGAGAAAGAGCAAACAGGCAGAGAGAGAGGAGGGAGAGAATCCCAAGCATGCTCCTCATTCTCTGTGTAAAGCTCTATTTGAGTCCAGAGGCCATGAACCATGAGATCATGACCTGAGCTGAAATCAAGAGTCAGATGCTTAACCGACTGAAATACCCAGGAGTCCCAAAAGAGTGTTTATTTAACTATAAACTTTCTCAAAGCTTAAATATATTGAGAATCTTCAAAGAGGGAGGATTATTCTGTGCCCTGTTTTCCAAAGTTACTTGGCCATAAAGCTCTTACACAAAAATCACCCTATTACTTTACAAATTTCCAATGTCTTTGGGCTTCTGTAACTATATTCAATTGAGGATTTTCTCCTACTTTCTTTAAACCATTTTTAAATCTCCTTTGCTGCTCTTTCCTACAGCAGATTCATAGATTTCCTACAGCAGATTCATAGATTTCTGTGACTGAAAGCATCAACTCTCTGTAAATGACTGTAAATCAACATAATTCCAGAATCTCACGCCAAATATTTATTAGTTTCTGGCTTCATAGAAAGTTCCCCTGAGATGCCAATACCACCTTAGCCTCATACAATTCATCTGTGCTCACCTAACAAACCCTTCCAGAGAGCTTATGTGTGGGCTCAGAGCATGCTGCTGGTGCTCTAAGGATTAGCAGGGTAATAATATTCCTATCTGAAAAAAAAGCTCAGTATAACATTTAAAACCCTGTAAGACCTGGGGGCGCCTAAGTGGCTCAATCGGTTAAGAGTCTGATTTCAGCTCAGGTCATGATCTTGAGGTTCATGGGTTTGAGACCCATGTTGGGCTTTGTGCTGACAGCTCCGAGCCTGGGGCCTGCCTGGGATTCTGTGTGTGTCTCTCTCTCTGCCTCACTCCCACTTGCACTCTACTCTTTCTTCATCTCTCAAAAATGAGTAAATGTTAAAAAAAAAAAAAAAAAACCAGAACCCCTGCAAGATCTGGCTTTGTCCTTTCTCCTCTCATAGCATCTTTCCTCCACCAGACTACTTTCTTTTTCTTGAATATCTCATGTATTTTCTACATGTCAAATGCTGCCAGGCTTCATTCTTTATGCTTGCTTTGTTTTCCACGTATATACATTCCTTTGCACTCAATGCATATGTAACAAAGGGCACTGCCATTGGAATTAATCATTCCTTCACCTGAGCTTCAATTTGCCTCAACTTTTGTTAAAACACACATGTTTCTCCCTATTATATATCTTGTATTACAAATGATTATTCACACATTTCTCTACCAGACAGAACAACTTGAGGATAAGAACTATATTATTCATTTTTGTGGCATTGTAATGTCTAGCACAGTGCTTTTTTCAGAGAAAACACAAACGTTTACTGAATTAGTAATTGTGATCAAGAAAACAATACATATTTTACTATATTCAGATCATGTGTACATATAGCCATAAACAGATTGCATATGTAAATATGTATTTAAAATGAACCTGGCAAAACTTGAAAAATTTGCCAACTGGATTTTTTGTTTATACTTATTGTACGTGAAACTGTTATTTTCACTATGTTAAATGACACCTACCCACTTGTAGGTAGCACCAGATTTAATCTTAACATCAAACTATGGAATTAGTCATATATGAAATTCAGATCTACTTTTAATGCCATTATAATTTATAAATGGGCAAAGATAATTTTCTTCAAGTCAAGATCACCTCAAAAACAAACTTATTTTCATCAAATGATTTTAAGTATAAAAATAACAAAATTTGTCTTACTTGTTTTAGATACTTGTCAGTGATCTTTACATTGGAAACAAGTAATTTTGCCAGACATTAAAATGGGTAAGAACTCAGCAGTGATGTGGACATAATGGGGAAAATACCACGAAACTAAAGCAAAATTTAACTTTCATTTATTTTATCAAAATGGGTAGATGTTCTTAAATTTTGTGCCAAAATACTTTTCCTGTTGTTTGCTTTTTATTTCTCAAAAAGAACTTAAGTGACATTTGCACTTAGGAGCTCACTAAGGAATGAAAAAACAAAAAAGGATTGTCATGATATATTTAAACCACCCAGTCCGTTTATAAAAATGTTTATTTATTTATTTTGAGAGAGAGAGAGAGAAAGAGGAGAGAGCAAGGGAGGGGCAAACAAAGGGGGAGAGAATCCCAGGCAGGCTTAGCTCTCTCAGTGCAGAGCCCAACAGCAGGGCTCAATATCACAAACAGTGAAATTATGACCTGACCCAAAATCAAGAGTCAGGCGCTTAACGGACTGAGCCACCCAGGAGCCCTTCACATCACCCAGTTCTATTTAGCAAGATATTTAATTCATGAATTTTGTCAAATAAAAAATAAAATGGTCTAATCAAAAGAAAGATATTAGCATATTTGATTCATTTTGGAATTAGCATTACCCATTAGTGACTGTACTAGAATCAAAATGTCTTACACCAAAGTAGGAAAACCACATTATCCAATAAACATACTAACATACTATTTATTTTTGGAGTGAATAACAAATTTCAACTCTCATTCATTAAGGAACTGCTAACTGCTTAACTTCTCTCTTCCTCAAGTTTCTCCCATTTAAAAAAAATTATCACTGCAGCTATTTCTTCCTTTAAGGAAGCTGTGAAAATAAGTAAAAACACATGAACAAAAGAATATGGAAACTGCAAAATAAGTACATAGTCATTTCTATAATTTTTTAATGTTTCTTTATTTTTGAGAGAGACACAGAGCAGGAACAGGGAGGGGCCCAGAGAGAGAGAGGGAGACACAGATTCCAAAGCAAGACCCAGGCTCTGAGCTGTCAGCATAGAGCCCAACACGGGGTTCGAACCCACAAACTGCGAGACCGTGACCCAAGCTGGATGCTCAACTGACTGAGCCACTCAGGCACCCCAAGACATAGGCATTTCTAATATTAAACCTTCATACGCTGCATTCCTATAGCTCTTTGGAGTTTTCCTAGAACTTAGACTTTGATGTATAACAGGAATTACTATACTATACTCATTTCACAGATGAGAAATCTAGGAATGAAAAAGCCATTTGCCAAACATGGTACAACAATGAGGCAGGAATCATTTTCTTCTACTTCTTCCCAGTCTTTGTTATTTTTAATGAACTATAGGAATAGGCTAGTTTTCACAAGAGATATGAGGTCCTACACATGTACCAGGATAGACAAAAAGGCCCATTCTTCCCCAGGAGGATGTCCTGAGGTGGTTCAGCAAAATGCAGCTCTTTGACAGGCTGGACTTGAAACAGAGCAAGAAACATGCTATTTTCCATGAGAGTGCCTCTGGAAATCAAAGTCTTCTGATGGAGACTTTACTTTAACTCTGGTCATACCTTTCAAATATAACAGGTTATCTTTGTTTCTAACTTAATTATCACATACTATAATGTATGCCTTTTTAATATTATTCTATTTTCTGCCAAATTATACAAAGAGCATTTCCTAAGTATTTACTATATTCCTAACATAATGTATAAATACATACATAAAATAAAAAGGAAAATTATATTTATGCATGTGTATATACACATACAATTTATACATATATGGGTTGCTTACATCTATCTCCCCAATAAGAAAATAAGTATGTAAATAAAATATTTGCGACATGGAGCAGCCCAGGTTGACTCAAGATGGCCACCAGTGATCTCTACTTTCTGATATTCATATGCTTGTGTAATCTTTTCCCCTTGAATATGGACTAGCCTACGCATACAATAGTATGTGACTTCTATGAGTATCTACATAAGATTATTTCTGTCTTTTTTTTTTTTTACAAATAGTTTATTGTCAAATTAGTTTCCACATAACACTCAGTGCTCATCCCCATAACTGTCCTCCTCTATGCCCATTCCCCCCTCCCCCCCACATCCATCAGTCCTCAGTTTTTGTCAGCATTCAAGAGTCTCATGGTTTGCCTCTCTCCCTTCCCCCCACCATGTCCCCCCTTCTTCTACCCCTTGTTCCTCCATCAAGTTCCTCCTAATCCTCCTATACGTGCAAACATATGATATTTGTCCTTCTCTGCCTGACTTATTTCGCTCAGCATAACACCCTCAAGGTCCATCCATGTTGCTACACATGGCCAGATTTCATTGTTTCTCATTGCCATGTAGTATTCCATGGTATAGATAAACCACATCTTCTTGATCCATTCATCTGTTGATGGACACTTAGGCTCTTTCCATGTTTTAGCTATTGTGGAGAGTGGTGCTATGAACATTGGGGTCCATGTGCTCCTATGCATCAGCATTTCTGTATCCCTTGGGTAAATTCCTAGCAGTGCTATTGCTGGGTCACAGGGGAGTTCTATTGTTAGTTTCCTGAGGAACCTCCACACTGTTTTCCAGAGGGGCTGCACCAGTTTACATTCCCACCAACAGTGCAGGAGGGTGCCCATTTCTCCACTAGCTGGTTCTATCTCTTGCTAAATTTGATGAAGCATGCTGCCATATTAATGATACTCATGTGGAAAAGAATTGAAAATGGCTTCCAGCCAACAAAGAAAGATTTGAGGCCCCGACTCAACAGGCCATGAAGGACTGAATCTTGTCAACAGTCATGTAAATAAACTTGAAAATTATCCTTCCCCATTTGAGCCTTCAGATGGGACTACAGCTTTGTCTAATACATTAATTACAATCTTGTGAGAGACTGTGAAGCAGAGAACTGAGTTAAGCCATGCCCAGATTTTTGACACACAGAAGCTGAGATAATAAATGTGTGTTGACTTAAGTTTCTAAATTTGTAGTAACTTTTTCACAACAATTAATAATTAGTACAGGATTAAATAGATATTTGTTGAAGGAATAATTGAAGCTTGATTGCCTTTGGAATGGATACTAGATTTAAGTTCAGTTCACCTGGGATTTGTCCTAGTTTAATGACATACTAGTTATATGATCTGGCCAAACTCTTTTTTCTCCCTGGAGGTGAGTTTCTTCATCTGTTAAGTAGTTAGGTGAGATGATATCTAACATCCTTTCCAGTTTTAAGATTTCGTATACATATGAATTTATTTTCATTCAAATCTGTCAAACAGAAGAGAACCAAATAGAATAAAATAATAATATTTAGTTGTAAATTTCATCTTGAGAATAAATTAATGCTATCTTCTAGGAAACAATATCAGTTTATAATCCATCTACCTTAACTTCAATAAAATGATATTTGGTTATCTCATGAAAATATTTAGTAAAAAATATATCTGCCTCAAATCTTTAAATATTCTGCATTGCATAGGTAAACACACAGAATTTTGAAAGTAGATTCTCATGTTTATCTAAACAATTATTCCCTTGAAAATACTGAATTGAGATTTCTAAAATATACTGTTCACAAAATGCCTGTATTTTAAAATAAGAAAAATAAATTTAAATTTAGGAGATAAGATTGAACTCTCACTTAGAATCCATATTTTTTTAACATCACACAATTGGCAAATAAATTTAGAATACTCAATTTGTAATTTAGTACTTATGTAATCCTCCAACATACATAACATTACTTTGATATCCTAATTGATTATGGGGGGTATATTATTAAGATACTTTTGGCCTTCTATGGCTTTAAATATCAATCAAAATGCACGCATTATCTTTTTTCTTGAAAAAAAAAAACATCCTGGGGGCGCCTGGATGGCTCAGTCTAAGTGTCTGACTTAGGCTCAGGTCATGATCTCATGGTTCGTGGTTTTGAGCCCTGCGTCGGGCTCTGTGCTGACAGCCAGCTCAGAGCCTGGAGCCTGTTTCGAATTCTGTGTCTCCCTCTTTGTCTCTGACCCTCCCCTGTTCATGCTGTCTCTCTCCCTCTCTCAGAAATAAATAAAACATTAAATTTTTTTAAATCCTGAATTTGAAATTTCTAAAATCAACCCAAAGTGTACTACTGTCAAAAGCTATAGACCAAATATATTGTGCCTGTTTCCTATCGCTATAGTAACAAATTACCACAAACTTAGCTGCTTAACATAATATCCGTTTAATATCTCCCAGTTTCCAAAGTTCAAAAGTCTTGGCAGGATGTGGTTCAATTAGGATTTCTACCTAGGGTCCACAAAGCTAAAATCAAATTGCCAGCAGGGCTGCATTATTTATTGGAGGCTCTGGGAAAGATTCACTTTATTTATATTGACAAAATTCTTCTCCCACTGCCCATGAGCTCCCCTCAAGTTTCAAGCCAGCAATGGAGGGGAAATCCTTGTCACACTTCAAATCACTCTTTCTCTTCTGTCACATGTCTATGCTTTAAAAATTTGTGAGATTACATTGAGCCTACCTGGATAATCCAGGATAATCTCCATAGTTTAGAGCAACCTTAACTACTTCCACAAGTTCTCTTTGCCATGTAATGTAATGTATCCCTGGGGATGATAGTGAGGGGTAAAGTTCTTGGGGTTCCAAATTCTCCCAAACACATACGGGAAATCTCTTCATCATTCTCTAACATTTTCAAGTGTTTTATTATTTTAAGTATTTAGATTTATTATTCTTGAAGATACTAAATTTTAAATGTAAGGCCACGTTAATATTAATGTAAAATAAATGTTAAATGCATATAATCATCCAGCTCTCTGACACCCAAAATATAATCTTTTAAAGTTTATTTATTTATTTTGAGAGAGATAGAGCACAAGCAGGAGAGGGATGGGGGGAGAGAGAGAGAGAGAGAGAGAAAGAAAGAAAGAGAATCCCAAACAAGCTCCACACTGTCATCACAGAGCCTGACATGCGGCTCAAACTCACAAACCATGAGATCATGACTTGGGCCAAAACCAAGAGTTGAACTCTTAACTGACAGCCACCCAGGACAGTCCCAAAATGTAATCTTTTAAAGTAAAAAGAATTTGATTATATAAACAATAAAGGGAAAAGTTACCTTTTGCCACTGGCTTTGTGTCTGGTTTTTCTTTTTTCTCAAATTTTTCCTTGTGAGTTGCTTAAACAGAAAAATTTATATTAGTACACACTTTCAATAGATTTCAAGACCAAGCTTTCTCTTTATCTCAGCTTTATAGCCACCAAAATCATGTATGATTTTAAAGATTGATGACATTTTAAAGATTTATGAGCCTGATTTAGAAATAAAAAAAATACCAGTGTAATAACGACTATATAAAATCCAATTTAAAAGACTTGGCATAAAGAGTTAGAAAGCATTTTGAAAGCTAACCTCACTTCCCTTTTTACTGTTATTATTCTAAATAGATAAAGTTTTCAAGAAAGACAAACTGAGAAAGAGCAGTTTTATAATATTTGTCAAAAGATGTTGTATTATAATGATGAAACACTCTCTTTATAATTAATTAAAATAAATATTTAAATCAGAATTAGAACTTGGATTAAGAACAATGTTTCTCAACAAAGACATAATTATTGATATTTGGGGGAAAATAATTTCTTTCTATAAGGGACTGTCTTATGCACTGAAAAAATGCTTAGTATCTCTGGTCCCAGCTAACCAAGTGTCCCCCACTCCAATGACATTTTGACAACCAAAAAGGTTTTTGTTCCAAATAACCCCTAAGAAATAGCATCTTCATCTTTGTCAGAGAAGACCAAAAAAATGTAATCAGAAATGATTACTGATTGAGTGCAGCTTTTTAAACAAATAATATTTGGCATACTTGGAACATTATACCTTCTCACTGTTTATGGAATAAATTAATAAATCAATATGAATTTATTTTACTAGCTTCTATGAAGTAAAGGGCTCTCTGAGACATACAGGAGTATGTGCAGGTTAGTCATCTTTCAAATGCATTCATCAGTGTAATTTGGTAGTTTCCCAAATCACCACTCATTTTACAGCATTTATATATTATTTATTGGAGAATAATGAGCATTAAAGAAATTATAAAAATTAAATGAAAAAATAAGAGATTTAATTAAACAGGTGGGTTAAAGAAAGAGCCAAATTATTAACGTTGAAAATTAGAATCCCAATTACTTCCATTTCTCCAACTGTATAATAACATTAATGTCCATCAGCTTTACTTGTATTATAAAAGATCAAAGGTGCTGAAACATGTATTTAACAAACTATTCTTCTAAAACACAGCTGATGAATAGTTTCCCCAGAATCTTGGAGAGATAAAGCAAACCTCACAGAGCTTAAAGCACAAGGCTCAGTTGAAGACCAAGTGAAGACCACCGAGGAAGCAGATGCATGTCGTCCAGGGTTTCAGCCTTTCTACCCTCAGCCTGCCCCACAGCCATGCCCACTCTCATTTGGGATTATGGGGAAGAGCCTGGACTGTTAGTTGAAGGCGCATGATGCCAAGTCAAGAGAGACATAATTCACACAAGGTCGTGGGGCTGCAGTGTAATAACTTACTCCATAAAAAGCAGACTCCTTTAATTGGTATATAATGAATTAAAGGACACTTTACAATAAAGCATTTTATTCTACTTTCCAGTATGAACATTTCCTGTAACATTTATAATTTAGGAGTGGCAAATTCTCAATTATTTTTTTACTAAAAATATTAAGCTACTGTGAAAGTTGAAAAAAATCACATGAAATATCAGATTATTTCATTTAGTCAGAGCCAATAATACTGCATAACTTAATAGCAGAAGAGAAATAGACACCTGTTTCTATAACAAAGAAAGTGGCTGTATTGAAATTCGTAGATAATATCACTAAGTAAACATTAACAAACTAATCATTATTTAATTCAAAATTTTAAATATGAGTATAGAATAAAGAAGATTAAAAGATGTTTCAATGGATCTGATTCCCAAAATATTATAAAACATTCTATCTGAGTGGAATGTTGCACAGGAAATAGTGCAGCAGGCTATGCATATTGTAAGCTTGTAAATCAGCTGAAATCTAGTGCAAATATTCTGGATGTGATCCACAAGAGCAAAAAAAAAAAAAAAAAAGAAAGAAAGAAAAAAGAAAAAGAAAAAAATTAGAGATTTATATCACATCCTACACTGAAATGAAATTTTGATGAATTAAAGTTAAATGTGAAATATGAAACTAAATTTAAAAACTTGATGAAATATTAATAACTGTTGAATTACTCTTTGAATGAAGATTCAAAAGCAGAATCACCAGAAGAAAATAAAACATTATCTAGCCATATACAAATTTAAGAATCTAAACAGACACACAAACTCACACACACACACACAATACAAATACACACATATATGCATTCACACATGTCTACTCACACAGACGGAAACCCTAACATTAACTATAAAACCTGAGGAAAATATTTGAAAAAGTGACAGGCCAGGAAAATATACCCAAATGACATGCACACAGGGCTCAAACTCATCAACTGAGAGATCATGACCTGAGTCGAAGTTGGAAGCTTAACTGGCTGAGCCACTCAGGCGCCCCAAGAAAATATCTCCGTTTAAATACCATGAAGCTTTTTTAAAAAAATGAGGAAAATACCGGCGTTAGAGCCCTGTGTCAGCCTCTGTGCTGAGAGCGCAGAGTCTGGAGCCTGCTTCAGATCCTGTGTCTCCCCTTCTCTCTGCCCCTCCCACCTCTCAAAAATAAACATTAAAAGAATGAGAAATACCTATTTACTGAGATGGAAAGAACTCTAAGATATATTATTAAGTTATAAAAGCCGGAATGTAGGATACATTAAATTTTGTATAGAAAATGGACAAACAGTAAGTGGTACTTTCTTATAAATTCATATTGAAGCTCTGAAAGATGCACATAAAACTCATAGAAGCGGTGTATTGTGTGTATGTGTGGATAGGATGCAATGGTACTTGGGGTGCGGAACAAGGCAGGAGGAAGCTTTTCATAATGTATCTGTATCTACTAAACAATGAGTTTACATTGCAGATTCTAAACAAATACATAAAAGTTACTTTTTAAATTCCAGTCTTACAGGTAATTAAAGAATGCAAGTTAAAATAATGAGGTATACTTTCTTACCTATCAAATCGAAAAATATTTCGTGAAATAATATCCTCACTGTTAGCCTAGGCAGTCTCACAACTGCCAGGGGAAAAAAATGAATACATTTCTAGAAAGTAAATTGGTAACCAAGTTGGAGTCTCAAATATTTTATTTACTTCAGCCTAGAAATTACTTTTTATAGATTCAATTCTAAGGAAAATATCAAAATATAATTTTAAAAATAAAATCTTATGTAAAGAATAAGAGGTCAAAGGGGAAGGAACCAATGTGTATGAACAGCAGTAAGAACTTTTCCATACCTTTCTTTTCAGATTTTTCTTTTTCTTTGGGTTTTTCTTTTTCTTTGTGTGTAACTGAAAAGAAACAGAGAATATTTTTCACTTAAATAAAGAGAATAAATTATAAGATGTTTGCATGGCAATTTTTGATGTCAAAAGCGTGTCTGCTGCTTTTGAAAATCTATTTTAACTGGAATGAGGTTGTACATAGTTAGATGTTTAAATGTTAAGATAATTATAAATTTTTTATTTCTATTTTTATTTTGTACCCAAGCACAAACTTGTCCCCAAACCAGGTCTGATTGCAAAAGTAAGAATACACCTCAGCTTTTTGAAATCTTTAACTTCAATTTAATGTAGTAGTGGAAAACTTTAAAAACTTATCATGCTGTATGCAAAGGATCCTAGCTCAATACTGGAGAAACACCAAAATATAAGGACAGAAATACAGAGAGATAATAACCTGAATCTGAGGCAAAGTATAATCAACCTAAATTGCACGTTACTCCTCTACAGAAACGTTCCCCACCCCAAATTTTTGAAAATATACTGGCATGAGATTGGAATGACACCAAATCCTCTTAAGGAAAACTAAATTTAATTTACTCTGAGCTGAGATCCAATTAATTAATACAGAAGAGCTCAAATTTAAGTTAAAATCTTTCCCCATAATTTAGTCGTAATTCTTATTAATGGCACGTCTAATTGTCAGTCTAGAAACATGGGAGTCATCCAGGATTCATCTTTTATTTTCCACTTCTGTTCATTTGCCAAACTCTTTCAATCTACCTTGTAATATTCCTCCTACCCAACTTTTTAAATCCAATATTACATCCCCTATTTGCCATTTATTTACACAAAAATATAGAAAGCACATGCTATGTGCTAAAGAGAGTTCGGCAAGATAGACTCTATCCCAGTCACTGTGATGTCAATAAGTGGATGAATAATGGAGGTTAAACAAATTACTGCAAAGGTAATTAATTGAAGTTGGTATAAATGCCATGAAGAAAGTATTCAGGGCATTCATAGACATTGCCTGTGTATTTGGGGAGTATCTCTTAGTAGAAGTGACATTTAAGAATGTGAAAGATGAGGAGAAATTAACCTAGTAAGGAAGCTGGAAGGAGAAAAGGAAAGAGACCATTTCAAAATTTGGAGTAGAATGCCCTTCTTGGTATATCAGTATTCCAAATATTATTTATAATAGCATCTTAACTATTCTCTTAAACCTTTAGATTTACATCTTTCTCTCTTAGAGTAATCTTTCTAACAGGAAAATCTGATTATACTATTAACCTGTTACAAATATTAGTATTTCCCTCATGGCTTAACATGGTATCTATTATATAGTACCTATGGGATAGGTACTATATGAAATATAAAACTATGTTATTGATCTAATGATTTGACATTTGCATATCAATCCCATCCAATCTACTTGAATTTCCCATGAACTTTATATTCCAGATGTATCAAAACAAACATAGCTCCAAGTATGCCCTCCTCTCTACCTGCCTGTACCTTCCACCCCAATCCCCACGCTTACACTTCCTTTTTCAGTTCCTTTTCAGTTCTGATTCAGTTGCTCCTCCCAGTAAAATTTTTTTGATCTCTATTTATTTTATAAACTAACTGAACATGTGCACAATTCCATTTTAACAATTAAATAATAATACTGCCTTTGTCAGGACACCTGGGTGGCCCAGTCAGTTGAGCTTCCTAGTTTTGATTTATGCTCAAGTCATGAAGTCATGATCTCAACATTCACGAGATCAGGCCCCACCTTGGGCTCTGCGCTGACAGCACAGAGTTTGCTTGGGATTCTCTCTCTCTTTCTCTCTCTATCCCTTACCTGCTCAGACTCTCTCCCTCTCTCTCAAAATAAATAAATAAGTACATACATAAATAAATAAAGTTTTAAAAATGCTGCCATTGTCCATATATCTGACTTCCTAGTAGGTGAAATCTCTTTAAAGACTACATCATGTTATTTTATTTTTGTATCTCTGGCTCATCACATGGTGTCTGCCCCATACTGGAGTTTTAATAGATTTTTTTGGAGTAAGGCAAATTCTAAAACATTATAAGAAAAACTGTTTTCATCTCCTAGTACAATTCTATTTATTAATGATATGGTATAGATATTATAAGCACTGCTTGCTTCTGGCCATTAAATTTTTTTCCAATGTATCAAAATTTCTCAAATAATTAAACCTCAGTGAAAAACAGAAGGAAAATAAATATATCTTTGAACATCTAAACATTATTTTCCTTACATTTTATAATCCTTTTAGGTGTTTCTGTGTTACTAAGTTCAATATAAGTATCTCACAGAAGAAAGGGGACCTCAGCATTCACACATGACCACAAACTTATATTGGTTCTTTCGGGCCACTATTAATTAAGCTAAAACTAAAAGAAAATCTTGGCAAAAACAAAGCCTCTTTTAAACATTCTCTAGAGGGAACTAAGTATGCATGAGATAAGCTGTGCTTTTGGAACCTGATTGGCAAGATTCCCAAGAGAACACCTAATCTGTGTCTCTGCTTCTGTGAAGGACCAGACCTCACCCACCTTGGACAGCTGGTTGTCCATTCCATTAAAGGATTTTCTAGCTGACGTGTGCACAGGCATAAATGGGAGAATTAATACAAAATCAAAAGAGTAAGGGGGCTGAATTCAGACTCAAACTGGCATATTAATGCCTCATTCTTGTTACCCTGGGGGAAAATCTGGTTCCTCACAGTCTAAGTTTTGATTTACAGACACCGTCCTATATGCTGGAATTTCATTATCCCCCTCAGAAACGGTACCATAACATTGCTTAGTGAAACAGCTGGACCCCTGTGCTCCAGGGAGCTGTTCAAAATGGCAGACAGCCAGTAGAGCTTCTTGGATGAAAACTTCAAACTTTGGCAAGATTGAGCTCACATACCAAGTTTTAAAGTTTCTTTTATCAAAATAATGCAACCATCAGTAACTGCCTTAATAATCACTCTAAAGTTTAAAAAAAGTATTTTTTTTCCAAAAACTGTGTTTACTTGTGCACGTCTTTGCTTAGAAACTACAACCAAAAGTTTTCATATGGAAGAAAAAAAAAGTTTTCATATGTCACCAGCTCTGTTTGGCAAGTTATATCTAAGCTAGGACAGTTTTAGCTCAGGACAAAATAAGCTTGTTGCACCTGCTGGAGCTTAATTTGCTTGTCATCCTTATTTACAAGAAACAAAAGTCCCTTCGGTATACTGATAATTAAAAACAAATGGAATCCACCAGTTGGAATGGCCCTGATGTTTGGCATCGGAGTTTGGCAGGGCTCTGCTGTTCTTGCACTTGCCCAGACTTTGACCTTTCCCTGACCAGAACATTCAGCTCAACTTAACTCTGCAGCAGCCTCTCGCCCACCCCATGTGGTCCCTCTCCAGCACTCTGCAAGCTGTGCTCTGTGCTTTTACAGAGTTTGGCCCTGGCAACCTGCCGGACAAACCCTGTGTCCTTCTCTGAATGTACCAGAGCTCATAGTGCACCTGACCCTGAGGTTCTTATCAGGCAAACCCTCCCTAGAGGCCAAGCAGTAAGGATTCGGTGCCAGGCTGGCTGAGTCCTTTTGCTGATCTCTCTGTTCTTAGTTAGAAAAAACCAGAAGTTTGGTGTCAAAAATTTTTCAGTAACTGATTTGCTTAGGCTTTTGTCAACACTAAAACAAAGTGTCAGATGTACTCTTGGTTAGTATGTATGTCTCTGTATGTTTTTATTTATTTTGTAACTAACCTATAAAATTTCCATTCTGTGCTAAGCCAAGATGATCTACACATTCTCCATGGTAATGGTGAACTCAAATAGAAAAGCACTCTTGAGTAGAGAAATTTGTCAAAGATTATATTACTCATTTTTCCTAAAGAAGGAATTTATCATTTTTTTATTTAAAATAAACACACAATTTCAGAGCTGAAAAGAACCTAAGAGGTCAGTTAGCCTGAACTTCTTTGTCCCTGGATAAGAAAACATTGCCTCAAAAGAGTCTATGGCAGAGAAGAATTCAGTGTGATCAGATTGCCAAACCAGCATTCTTTCCCCAACTATGCAACCTTGTCCACGCAGGTCCTGTGCAGACTAGGAACTTGTTCTTATGAGCCAAAGTGTGCTGGTTGGATTCTCTGAGCCCGTTATCTAAAACCAATCCTGCAATAATACACATGCTTCTTTTTCATGATAAAATTACATTTATGCATCTATTAAAGTGCAGATTAGTCAAATTCCCGCATATTACAAAACTCATCTGATAAATGCTCTAAATCACAAAGTATATTTTTAAATTCCAAAATACTAGTTTTACTCTGAATTCTGATTTAATTGTATGGGCAATTTCCTCTTCAACTGGGGCTCCATAGCCAGTCAGAACTGTAATCACTTCCTCAAAAGCGAGCAACCACTATGGAGGAGGTGATGCATAGATATGTGTAGATATCTCATTTTCCAGGTTTATATTTCACAGCTGTCAGGCAGAAAGAGAGAAAATACATTTTGTACTTTAAAGAGTCAATTAAGCATCGCTGAGAGAAGAAAAATAAAAGTTTATACAATAGAGGCTGACTTAATTAGTTTGTGGTCTTTGAGAGCTTTTTTACAAAGGGCACAGGATAGTTAGATACATTTTAATGTCTTGTACTCTTTGGCTTTTGAGCCTCATCTTCAGAAAAACCCTTTGCCAGCCTACAATTCCAGTCCTATAATTATCTCCCAGAAACAATCCTAAACCAGTCAGTCAGGATTATTACTCTAAATTACCCTTTCAAATAAATGTTCTTCTGACCACATGTGATACTGGTATGTATGCATTGGGTGGCATACCAGTGTTGGAGTGGTAAAGATGTGTTGGAGTCCTAATCCACTACCTCAGAATGTGACCTTAGTTGGAAATAGAGTCTTTACAGAGGCAATCAAGTTAAAATGAAGTCATTATGGTGGTCTTTAATTCAATATGATGGGTGTCCTTATGAAAAGGGAAAATTTGGACACAGAGACAGATATGCAGAGGGAAAAAAGTAGAGATGCAGAGAAAACACCATGTG